AAGCTGTTATTCTTCGTTTATTGAAATGCAACTGCTAAAAGCAAATTCCTCTGAATAAATTCAACAAATTGCAAAAACTTTCATTTCATTTTTCCATGTGAACTTGATATGTTCTCATTCAATTTTTAGCTCTAAATCATTTCATTTGTTCAAATCCTTCTTTTTGTAATATAAGTATAGACCTTCTCTAGACTTTTACTAATTTAAAGACTTCATAGAGGCATATTTCCAAGGCTGAAATTATAAGACAGTCTTATATGAATTTATGATTTTGAGACTTGGGCAATCCTTTAGAAAATAGTTGCATGTAAAAAACAATTATATAGATATATAAAATGATTTGTGGAATAGCTACTTTTGTTGTCTTGAAGCTGTTATTCTTCGTCAATTGAAAATGCAACTGCTATAAGTAAAGGTGTGAAAGAATTTGAGATGAAAAAGAATGCAGTCAAAGTACTATAACTGAATTGTAATACAGTGAGCTGCTTTTTCTGAAGAATATTTCTTATTAATGAAAAACTTTACCCAAAATTGATTACGTGATCAGTGATATTATAGTGATTTGTCAGTCACAAAGAGCAATAATATGGTCATAAATGAAATATTGAGATTATCGATATCGTAAATGATGTGATGATAGGTAAGGGACCCAAGTTGAAGAATAGTTTTAATTTATTAATGATAATTTTCATCAAATCATATTTGTAAATATCCAAACAATATTGAAGTATTGGAAACTAGACACTGTAAGCAGCCAGATCAAACAAAACATCTGAACACCAAATAATGGCTGCAAGAAATTCTCTTTGTGATTCATTTGTTTTTCTGTATTACAAACATTAGCAAGTACAGTTATTGAAGTTTTCATATTTTTTTAAACAAAGTGCTACTGAAAATGTAGTTTACAAACTGCGAAATGCTGTAATATCACTTATTACAGACAATGTTCACTCAACGTGAAGAAGAATGGACTTTGGGGGAGAAAGAAGATCCAATTCTTTATGCATTTCATTATCGTATAACGAATGAGAATATTTGCAATTGTCATCACTATAATAGACAATTTCGTTTATCGAAAAACTGGCGACATAATACTGATCACTGTGGCGGATTCAGTGATTATGCATTTCTTGATTTAAAGCAACTTTGGTTACAAAATGAACTCAGCAATTCACAGATTAACTGTGATAGACAGCCTTATTGTAGAGCCGACTGCCAGAAACGATTTTGTAAATGCGAATGCTTCGCTTGTCGTCGTAACCACCATGATCAGAGTATTTATCAAAAATATTACCATCCTGGAGCAATTGATCATAGCCAAGAATGTTGGCGATGCTGGAAATTAAGGAAATCAGAAAATTTCATTCCACCTTTTTGTGAATGTATTCAAAATATGGAAAAAGTTCGTTTGGTCCCTATAAAGTTTGTTGAGGCATCAGACTTGTCCGTGAATAAATCAATCAGCAGTAGTAAAAACTTGTCTAAACTTGGTAATGAATCATATTACGGACCATACATGGCACATAAAGTCAAAATTGATCCATCAATGACACTGCTGGAAAGTAGCGCAGAAAAGTGTCAGTTAACTGAGGAACATAGTTATTTATTAAAAAAGAATTATTCACAAGATTTTCAAACATATAAGTTTGGTACTGATCATCAAGTTCCACATGAATTTGAAAAGAAAAAAGCTGATGATGGCGATAAAAATTCGCGAATTATTTCTGACACTTCCACTAAAAAAACACCATCTTATATGAATTCAAAATGTGACATAGGTTCAGCACCTCCAAATCTCACAATTCTTATTCGTGCTAATTCTAGTCCATCTCTTACTACAATTTGTAATGAGTCTCAAGTGTCAAAACAAGTAATGCAGAAAGCATGGAGGCCAATCGAAAAAGAAAAGGAAAGCGGACGTAGAACATTAATGGAAGGACTTGCGATGATTAAGCAAAGAAAACAGAAGGAAGATGAAGAAAGAATCACATTATTTTCAAGAGCAGCAGGTAAGATAAAACATATCTGTAATTGACTTGTAACCTGTGTTAGCTATTATAAGGAACTTAAAAGCAATCAAGTATCAGAAGTCAGGAAACTTTTCAAGAGAAACATTTAATTGATGCTAAATAGCTCTTTATACAAACTAATATCGATTGTTAAAACTAAAAAGTTAGCACAAGTAAAAAGTGATAATTTCTTAACAGAATTATTCCGTGGGTTCTGTCTTTCTCTTTACTTTCTGATAGTGAAATAATTACTTATTTATAAATAAATAAATAAATAAATAAATATCGTTAAAGCATCAGATGCTACTTATTTCTTAATGATTTTCTGTTTCTAAGCATAATTTTACTTTTTATATATTGAATAATGGATCATAATTTTCAGGGCAAGAAATCAGCTCGATATCACCATTTTCCGATTCCTATGGACTTTTATCGTTCTATACACCTTCACCTTACGTTAACAATCCAGATCGCGATAAGATCGTAGCCAATCGTGATCAAGTCACAGCAAAAATTGGTTATTCTCCGAAATCTTATCGTATAGCAAAAAAAGTGGAAAGTAAGAAAGAGTCGAAAGAAGTTCTTCCGTTACGTACGATAGCGAATATCATAGTTTCACCAACTTCAGACAAACTTCTGAGCGAAGAATATACTCTTGCCCAAAAGCGAAAAGGTGGATTGGTTAGCACAAACGTATCCGTTCGAAGTGATGATAATACAAACCCAGTCGTCACCAATGTTTCAATAACCAAGAAAGAAACGTCTAAGCCACGATGGATGATTTTGAAGGCACATGAGTCCCTTCCTAACATAGAAAGAGCGCAATATACAAAATTTGATTCAGAAAAGGCAAATATTGAAAGTGATTTTAATTTTGAACTTGATGAAGATGTAATGCTATATTCAGAACTTCCAAGAGATAGCAGATTTTGCAAAAACGGGCGGAAATCAATTGTAAAAGTTGTAGAGAAGCCACATGCAGAAACCCTAACTACATCGAGAAAGAATTCTGCGAAACACACTGCTCTAAATACTGATATTGAATCCACTTTTTTTCCAAGCACTGTCACTGAAAATGGAACAAGTAGTAAATTTTTTCAAACATTCTAACAATGATATCAAATTGTGCTAAATTTCACACTTTCAAAACTTCTTTAATAATCATTAGCTTCAGTTATAATCGCAAATTCAACGACGTCAGCAAGCAAATTTTGTGCAACTCTGACGCAGAATATCAAAGAAATTCGAAAGATTCATCATACAGATGCATTTGAAAACTTATTTACGATTTTTGGAGATGGAATGGAAGTTTGTCGCCGTGGTTTACCTATTGTTTTCCTATTTCAGCATAATAGCAGCTCTCAGATTTTCAACAATATTTCAATTTTTGTTAAACATGGTGCGGTCCTTCATACAAATGTTTTAGTTTTCTCAATGCACACTTTCTGGATAATAACATTGATAATAGTGGTAGTGTTAATAATAAAATGCCCAAAATCGTTTGAAAACAATAATTTGGTCAATTTATTGAAAAGACCTGAAGAAATAAATTTCAAAATTTATATCCTAAATGAAATTAATTGTTAATCTACCAACTTTATGCATTGTTTCGATCATAGTAAGCACCAATATAGTAAACAAAGAATATTCAACTTCTGCAATCTCTGTGCACCACAAGATATTTTTGCACTTCTCCAAAATTTTTCGCGGGTCAAATACTCAGATTGTAGTATGAAATCTCAATAATAATTAAGAAAGGATTTTTCTGGAGCAATAAAATTATTTTAAAATTAATTTCCTGCCATAGAAAATATTTTGCCCATTTGTAATTTGAAACAGAGCTAATATTGGGTCTAATTAACAATTTTCCGGAAAAAGTTTTTATGAATTCTTAAAATATCTCGGGAAAAGATTTAGAAAAATGCGAGATTTTTCAGCCATTTGCGTGGATGAAACGAGATTTGTTGCGCATTACTTTTCAAGCATTTTAATTTGGCTGATATTTTATCATTGCTAATTTTTAGAACTGACAAATTATGAATCGACAATCTCTGTGGTAAATTTCAATGAAATCATAAGGAAGTCGTCAAAAATTTGGTCTGCGACATACAAAATTTTAACATCGAATTGTGCATTATTTGAAGTTATTTATTACTTACACATTTCAAATTTCATTTTTTTTGTTGGTTATTTTCAGCAGTATTATTAACAGTGACGATAATAATACTGATAACAGTAGCCTCATAGTTTGTAAATATACTAAGTTACATTATGTATTGATGTATTTGCAAATGAAGCGTAAGCGCATCAATCAATTTGGCGTAAGCGTTTCAGCTTTTTGCTGCACTTTCTTATTATGACTGCTATTTTATCATTATTGCAAATGTTATCTACATACGAACGTTCAATTTCTTACTTTTTAATTATTTAGAATTAAGTTTTGAAAATATAGCTGCTTCAATGCAGTATTTAAGGCTTATGAAATAATATTATAATGCTTTAAGTTGCTATTTCTGAATATTAAATGAAAATGTGGAAAGACATTTTATTGAGGTTTCGACGCCTTCCGATATTCCGATCGGTCTATGGCAAATGGTAGTACGATGTGAAGGAAAAACAGATCTGCATGCAGTTCATTTCTGCATTTTGTTTAATCCTTGGTGTAAAGGTATGAAATTTCAATGATTAAATATCGAACAGTTAATAATGATGATGACCGATAGTGAGTAGTTAGCGAAAAGTGGAATTACTAGTAAGGATAATGATGAATATCATCGTTAATGACGGAAATAGTACTGCTGACAGCGGTACCGTCAAGAATTTTCAGGCTGTACTGATTTTGTAAAAGCTGTGATAATAATAATGGGACAAAGTAGATTTGACTGTTTAAAAACTCAAATTCACTACTTCTTACATTGCTTGCTATAAAAAGAATAAATTAATATTGTTCGTTTCAATTCAGCTACAAATTACAGTTATAATAACATCGAAATGACAAAAAGTCGTTTCTATTTTTAAGCTTGCAAAGTCTTAATTTCTACATTATAAGTGCTTTAGACGACGAAATTTATTATGCAAATGAGTCAGAGTTGGAAGAATATATATTAAACGAAGTAACTGTTATGCATAAATGGCACTGTAGAGATGCTTGGCTTTTGGGGCAGTTTAGTACTGTATGTCTAGAAACTGTGTTACATTTATTAGCTTTGTGTTTGGAAGACAAGCTCCTAAACAGCAACGAGTTTGGAGATGCATCTGCGGTTGTGAGGGCCCTGGCTGTAGCCGTAAGTTTTTCTTTTTTGGATGATTGTTATTTTCACATCAAAACGTTCAATTCCAATCCTTTTTATAAAATTTAAGTAAATCACCAGATTTTTTTCTATTAGTTTCAACACCTCAGGATTTGAAGGATAGCATATTTAGATTTCACTTTGTGCAGTCACTTCTATTCTTTTAAAACATTGAAAATTGATTAAAGAGCAATCACTGATGCAAAAAGAAATCCAAAATTTATCTTCTACAGTATTAAGGCTTGATTTTCATCTTTTTGTAGTTGGGTAAGTTTGTGTTAGAAGTTAAATGGTCTGATTTCCAACAAAATAATGAAAATCGAGTTTTGCCAAGCGCTTGGACCGGTAGCAAAGAAATTATGGCGATGTACCGGAACTTTGGTATGCAAATCGGTTACGGACAATCGTGGTGTTATGCTGGTTTACTCACATCAGGCAAATTGCACTAATTACAATATTTTGATTCATCTATGAGTTCGGCAGATTAATACTACTTTTAAGTCTACTAAAATTTTAAATTAATTTTGGAAAAACTGAATAACTGCAATAGAAATATCTCGCGTACTATTTCTCATACTGCATTTTTCAATCTGTTCATTCAAAGTTTTTCAAAACTATTCCTTTTCTCTTCATCTTCATATTCCCATCTTCTAATATTTGAAACTACTGACGGTTATTCATTAATGCAGCATATAATTGCAGTATGCAGATGCATTGGCGTACCATGTCGAATCGTAACCCTTCGTAATTTTGCGCCACGCATTGAATACGGCACATCGATAAATTTGGATCTGATCGATGATATGGTTGCAGAGAAAAACAAAGATACAGTTTGTTTTTATTGACTCAAAAATCAACATAATTATATCAATGTCGAAAGTACTGCGTGATTGCGTGAACTTAAAGTAATATATCATCATTGAACTTTCACATTTTTAATATATAAATCAGATCAATACCACACGGATCAATATAAACTGATTCTGGCGCTGAATCGAGTTCTGGCACTTTCGTTCTAATCGGCGTGCGCTCTGTCCTACTGTATTAATCTGACTGCTTCATTCTCGTGGAATCCATAACGATGATCGAATGAGGTGCTTTCGAGCGTTTTCTTAAGCACTATCGATTGCATATATGCCTCAACGTGATCAGATACTCTGACTTCCCTCGCGTGACGTCTACGGAAGTTCGCCACTATCCCATTCCAATTCATCACATACGGAATTATTTTCCTTTTGCATTTCATCTCCGCTCGAGCTTATTAGCTAGTAAATCGTACTTTCGCTTCTTCTCGGTCTAGACTGCTATCAATCTGTCCTGACCAGTGATGCCAACCTATATCAGTATTACTTCACGTTGCTTCTTTCGTATACAAAGATATCCGGTCGATCCGCCTTATTTCAATCGCAGCTCTTACTCGCATACCGACTCTGATTTATACATTCTAATTAGCGACAATTTCCTGAACGGAATAGCTCCTTATGTGTGGGAATGGTTTTAGATCATATTTTTTGCAAAGTCCTAAATGAATGACCGCAGGACCTTATTACATCTAATTTAGTCGTGATATCACACTTTTTCGCACTACATTGCTAGATGATCTACCGTCTTCACACGTTTCCTACAATGGGGCGCATATCTTTCCCAGCTCCAAACATATTTTTATTTTGGAGGTTACAGTGTCTTGCTCTTGCGGAGTAATGTTCATATCGTCGCCACACTGATGAATCTGTCATTAAGGATAACTCACTATTTCGCATCTTATATAGCTTTACATGACGAGTTTTCTTTGTTGTCTTCAAAGTTGAATTGTCTTCGAGGTTATAAGGTACAATAATTTCGTGTTGTGAACTTTCTCGAGCTTCAAAATCGTCGCAATCCTAGTAGATGTGAGCACACGGTTTCAACAAGTATGTTATGAAGCTGCAGAAGCAAAAGCACACTTCTTTGATCAAAATCCACGTCCTAGCTGTGAAATCTACGTCCTAGCTTGACCCTTAGCTTAACTGCCTGTTATCATGATAAATTGCTTGAAAATTCCAATTTGAGCACCCCAATGCAGTAGTTTATTAAACCAATGGTGTGCTTGTATTGTGGCTTGATAAAGTTCTTGCTATTTAGTGCAGTTCTGGCTAGTCGCTCAATTCTCACCAAAATCTCTGCTGTACTTTATTGTAGCTTGCTTGGGTCGGAGCGCTAGACCTCTCTTCTATTATTCCAAGGTATTTATACCCTTAAGTTCCTTCTAAAAGCGCAGCCATATCTCGGTATTAGTGGTTAACTTTGCTGTATTTACTCTAATTCTATTATTTCAAAGAAGCTCTGGACTTCTTCGGCCATAGCTTTCATGATATCCTCATTGGTAGCAAGAAGCTCGAAATCATCCACAAATAATAAGTGATTAATTACAAGCATTCCTTGATCGGTGGAAACCTCCACCTTTGGTATCCGACATAAAGCCGACAGCTTCCCGGGTCCATCCGTAAAACAAATGACAGCGGAGAAAGGCCATCACTTTGAAAGATTTCTTACTGTATTTCCTTCTCCATTGTAATTTCTCTGTTGTTTTTTAGTAGAACTGCCCATCTTGATGTGGTGCTTCTCAAAAATTTTCTGATCCATGCTGGCAACTTGAGTCTTTCAATACACTTAATCAGGTAGCTGTGGCTAACTAAATCGAACGCTTTTTTAATGCGATATCACGTAGTATAGAACTGCTTCGCGTGCTCTTTGCAAACCGAAAGATTCAGTAAAGCCTGCTCTTTTGCACCTTTAACCTAGACCTAGGCAACAGTTTCTAATTAGTTATCTGGAAGTAGTCTCCACGTGGCAACATCAAAACTATATGCCACACATTTCGTTATCAACTTCGGCATGCAAGTTATTGCTTGAACTTGGGACACATTTTGGAATCAAGTAGGTATTTGTAGAACTATTTATCCTGTTCCTCCTCATCCAGGTAAATTCATCTTATTTTTCTTTACCAATCTGGATGCAAGGCGGTGCAATTCTTCTTAATGAAAAAGTTATAAACTCCATTGGAATCCACCGCTTTCTAGTTGGGGCAATAGATAACTATTTTCCAAATTCGACTTCAGACGGGAAGGTCAAGTATTTAATAATTCGGATATTTGTCCACATTATGAAGTAAAATTGTACAAACTTTATCAATTTTAGAGTGAGTAACGAAATTACCAATACATTTTTTCAGATAGATAATTATGAAAAATTAGTCTCTTATCAATTTTAACATGAAAATGATAAATATCAGCTCACTTAGACTTCCCAATTTTAACTTCAAATTTAAATCCTATAACTTTTTAATTTTCTAAAAAATACAGTTATGGCAGTACCATATATGGAACGAATTATGGCTTCCAGCTATGTTTCTTAAAAATGAAAGTGAATGGTACGTTTGCGATGCTACGCCCATACCAAAAGGTCCTTGCTATGCTCTTCGAAAGTAAATAAATACTTTAATCAAAAGCTGCGTTCATGCTGAAATCAGAATTTCACTTTCACTTAATATTTAAAGCTATTTCATTTTCAGTTTGCTACAAATAAAAGGAGTAACGCGCTTCAGCAAACCTGAGATAAATTTTAGGTTACGGTGGGTTAACTGCGGGAAGTGCCTTATTCCCCGTTGCGCAGATTCAACACGGTAACAAAGATAGAAAAAAAAGTAATGATGAATGTTTCGGTGCACAACTTCATCGATTGTTTACGGCAAACATCGTTTGTAATTATTATTATCGTGACCCGGTCACACGTGAAGCGGTTTTTACTCATTCAAAAACACTTGAAAAAAGGTAAGAGTGAATGGCGCCTGCTGGAGTTTACAAACATTGTTTTGTAATAATTATTTCAGTCTATTCCTCTCCATTAATATATATATATATATATAT